CATCAAAAGTAAATTAGTTAACAAGATTTTGGCTTTTGTAAATTCCATTTGTGGCCACTGGCCAGCAAATGACAGATGTCACGTTTCTTTAACTCAACTGGGCCATGAAATTAATGGGAGTAAAGCCTAAATATTTTCAAAGCACTACCCACTGCTTTTTCTTACAGAATGTAAATCTTTTTAACTCTTTTTAAGGTCTCCATAAATTATTTGTGGGCTGTATCTTATTGGTCTTACTGGGGGGACTGCCAGTGGGAAGTCATCTATTGCAAAAAGGTTGTCTGGACTAGGTGCTTATGTAATTGATTGTGACAAAGTAAGACTAGATTGAATTAGGCATAATTTATTAATAGTGTTGGCATAGTTTATTGATATTAATCATAGTACAATAATTTCCTTGTTAAAGTTACACAATGCTTATGTGTAAGACATTTTAAAGGAAGGAATTCCAGTGTGTCTGTTTCTTGTTTATTTTACTCTCAGCTAGGTCACAAAACATGGGAAAAGTGTTTACAAAAAAGTTTTCAAGAATTTGAAAAAGGTTTATAGTGTTATTAGCTCTTTTGCTGTTCTTTTTAATGCATACTACATATGTAGATGTACTGTTGAAAGAAAATGGAGAAATCAATCGAAGGGCATTGGGTAGTATTGTATTTTCAGATAAAGGATATATTATTATGATTTATTATCTTATCATTTTGTTTTTATTACAGACTAAGCTAGAGAGACTGAATGAGATAGTGTTGCCTGAAATATGGCGGCTAGCAATGAAAGAAGTTGATACAGCGGGAAAGGAGGATATGGAGCATAATGTACATGGACTCATTCTTATTGTAATAAAGGATACATGGTGTGTGTTCTTGATGCTGCTGTACTGCTTAGAGCTAAATGAAACACTGGACTGAATGAGGTCTGGGTCTCCATTGTTCCTGTTGAAGAGGCAAGCCTTGAATATCAGGTGGAGGTGTTCCAGTGATTGTTTCTTCTTTTAGGCTGTGAAGCGTGTGATGAAGAGAGATGGAGCTGATGAGGAGAGGGCAAGACAAAGGATAGCACATCACAGATGAGTAATGGTGAGGCTGTAGACCATGCTCATGTTGTTTTTTGCACACTGTGGGAGTATGAGTTTACTCAAGATCGAGTAAGGAAATAGAGAGAATGAGAGGAAATTTCATTGTGATTTACAGGTTGAAAGAGCATGGACTGCACTAAAAGACAGAGTTGATATAAGAAATAAATTATAGTATTATTTTATTTTTTGAATTAATTGTTATGATTATTTTTGCTCTGCAAATAATTTAGTATTTGTAAACTTACAACAGTCTTAAAAATAGATCTAGATTTTGGATAGGAGCTGCTCAAAATTAATATTCATACACTTCTGCTTGTGCATGCTCAATTTTTCATAAATCATAATTAATCAGCACGTTTAACCCCACCTATTCTGAATTATTTTTGTGCCACTTGCCGTCGCACTTGCCAGCATAGATGCTAGGTACAGATATGTTCTCTTGGTCTCTTGTGTCGCTGCTTCTGTCTCTTGCTTGTATAACTAGCTGCCATGCTGTCATTTTTAAGTTCAGCATCAATCAAACGTGTCAAAGCTCTATACTTGTGACGTTTTCTATAATAAAGCAGGACTTGTCCAACACTACTTCTTACACTGAACTATACTCCTGTAAGTTATGCATATACACTAACTCTAAATGTATGTGACATCTAGATTTATGTTAGGTTCTGCCAAGCTTCCTCCAAATGCTAGTGCTGAATTTAGTCCTGTACATGATGGATCAAATACAAATGAATTGTTTCTTCAGTGGCATTCCAATAGTAGGGATGTCAGTTGATTTCTTGAAGTTATTAATAGCGTGAATATAACCTTTTTATCAGTTAGACTGTAAAACAAGGATCACAAAGATATATAATACAACATAAATACAACTTACAGGAGCGGTGTAATAATTTTTTTCTGATTTACTGAATCTCTGAAAAATTAATAAAGAATGAATGGGGCGTGGTGGCACATATTTTAATAACTGAATTTTAGCTGAATCAGCTGAGAAATAGTGCCTCAACACACCCTAGAAAAGTAAAATAAGAAATATTTATAGTTTTTTTGTTACAACAAGTTAATTTATTACCTGCTTTTGTTTATAGGATATCTGGTACAAGTCAGATTGACCATTCCTGTGTCAGTACTACCATTCACCACCTTAGAAGATGACTGAAGAAGATGATATGGTGCGTTTTATAACAGTATTATTTAATGATAGTGCTATATACTATACGTTATGCCCATAGTGAGAGCAATTTAGGACAATTTTAGCTAGTTTTGCAGGCTACTAACCTGTCTCAAGTTCTAATTAATGCCCAACATGCATAGCTATCAGTAATTCAGTTTCTAAAAGGTGTGGCATTTATCCTTCACTGCTTGCATGCAGTGCTTTAAATTTAAATCATCATAGTTCTTGTTTTATTTTTTAAAATGTGCATTTAGGTAGCCAATTAAACAACCCCTCCCCAATCATTAATTTCAATTTCTCACTGAGTTTACATATAATTTTATTCACAGCCTATGCAATGCTATCAAGCAGATAAAGTTCACTGTGTCTGGCTAGTGAATGGAGAAATGAAGGTTCTTTTCGAATGCACACTTCCAGAGGGGTCTGGGCAATTGATATCTGGATCTGTCAATTTAGTCATAAATAAAGAATTAATACAAGAGTATATTGACAGTATGGATCATATTCCACACATAAGAAAAGTCACAACTACAACTTTAGAACCTACAATGGGACTTCATGTTTAGAGACTAATTTAAAATGAACTGCTTCATGTTTAGAGACTATTTTGAAATGCATTGAAGTTATGCATCATTATTTTTAAAAATGATTGTTGAAATGGAGATTAATAATGTAAACAAAATTTAGCCTATTAAACAAAAAAAACAAATAACAAAAGCAAAGTAAAATAATGCAAACACGCAACCAAGGTATATATAATGTAAACATGCAAACAAGTAAAGCAAAAGAAATGTCATCAAAAGTTACTGTAATTCCAAATCCCCACTTACAATATCATCAAGTAAAGTAAAGGAACAAGTGTCTTCTTCTCCATCATACTGAATTTCATACTCCATTGACACTGGGTTTAAATTAATGACAGTTCCATTGAACCACACCAATTCATCTTCAACCTGGAAGCAGTGTCTTATTCTCTTTCCTACCAAAAGTTCAGGATGTGTCATAATCATGTGATTTGTTGATGAGACACTATTATCTATAAGCATCAATAGATTTTGCATTAACTGAAGAACTGTTAGCTGCCTCCTATTTTTTGAAAACTTAAAGATATCACTATTTTCATGCACTTGTCTTAGCACTTTCTTACGAAAATTGATTTGCAATTTCAAAGCATCCTTTTTCTCTTTCTGCGTTGTACATGATTCTAATCCACTTTCTACTTCTGCTCTCTTTGTCCACAGACCACCAAATTCCTCAACTTTCCTTGTCAAATTTTCTTTCTCCTTTGCCTCCTTTAACTGTTTACGACTATTTTCTTCAATCCTTTTCTCCATATTTTGCCTATGTTCTCTTTCTATTTCCTCTCTTCTTCTTCTAAACTTTTCTTTGAATTCGGGTGCAAGTTTTCTAGCTGCTTGAAAAATTTCCTTTCTTTCATCAGATGAAAGATGAGCTATCCAAAAAGAGGTCTTGTTATGAGCAAATAAAACCATAGCCTCCAACGAGATAAGTTGTGCATTTGGTTTCTCCCTCAAATATCGGTCTAAAACAGCGAAATCTCTCTCAGGTGACACATTCGTAGTAGGAACAGAGGCGATTTCTTGAACTATTCTTTCATCAGTGATATTGTGATGAATGCCATCAGGAAGATGGTCAATCAGTAACCTTTGAGTTGTGACTGAAAATGTATTAAAGAGAAGCTGAAGCAACTCTTGTGTCATTGTATCAGATGAATCAGGTCTTATTAATGCACGCCAAACATCATCATCATGTATTACATCATCATTAATACATCTAGCACTGCCATCAATCAATGTTGATGAATCATTAGCCCAAGTGTCAAATTTTACTTTAAGTTGACAGTAAGTATAGCTCATATCCAATACAGAGACTGAAGACTCTTCCAGTCTTCTCCACAAAGGACCAGTGACAATTTTGTCAATTAACCCAAGAGCTCTACATCCAGCAATCAAAATTGGGTTATTCAAATCATCTAAAACAGACTGGAGTAAACGATTCACATTCTTTCCATGAACACTTTGCAGAAACTGAACCATGTGGTGTTGAAGATAATACACACCAGCAGCATCGTAAAACAGAATATTAAAACGATTGCCTATAAACTGTGCAAGGGGAAGTTTAAATATGCCTTTCTGTTTTAAATACGATCGAAATAAAGTGGAAGTGCCACATTGTTGTGAACCTCGGTGGTGAAATGCCTTACAGGCAGTGCGAATAAGTCGTTGCGTACCAGATGAGCTGGCATGTGAAGACTCATTTTCACTAAGTGAAGCTTCCCATAAACTGACAGTTCTGTCACTGCACTCAGCTAGGCCAACTAAGTAGTGCAAACCACAAAAAAAATTGTTCATTCTGGTCAACTGCTCTTTCTCTTCAACAGCTAATTCATCCCATTTTTCCATAATAGTAGGCAAAACGTCAGCTCTAAAATCATTCAGAAGTTCGTTAAACAATTTTTCGGCTGCATGCCGATCAGACATGGTGTTTTTTATCTTTGATAATATCTGTGAAGAAACAGCTTCACGTCCTAGTGACAACTGAACACTATCAATGTCACTTAAAATCTCCTTGAAAGTTTCTAAGGTATCGTTAGCAGAACCAGAAAACACATGTCTCAGTCCTAAAGAATATGAAAATGACTCTGTCTTTAAATCATATGTAGCAAAATGTTCACCAAATTTGGTGGTTCCATCTGTTTGTAGTGTTGTAAAATCATTTGATTCCAACAATCCGTCTCCTAATTGAGCTTGTACGACAGCAAGAGATTCAATCATCATTTTGCAAGTTATACCATAAGAAGGTAGCCTCTGAATAGATTTGTGAGTAATGTTCTCTAAAACACAGCGTATTATTGGAGCGACATTACGTACACCAACGTTTAAGGAAAGTAATTCATATACACAATGACGTACATCGTCAGTATATTTACCACCTTCAAAGGTAGTGATTTCAGGTTCTGAAGACAATATACT